CAAAATAAATATAAGGGTTTACAGAAAAACCTTGCAAAAAATAGATTTCAAAGATGATTGTCTCAGCTCTTTTTGAAACGGCAGATAAAATTTTGAAGTTTCTCGGAGATGTTACCATCGAAAACAATTTAAGGCATTTTTTTAAGTCATTTTCGAAGCCTTTGTAGCGTAACTAGCATTGATAAATAATTTATTAATCTCACATATCAAATCTATAGTATTTCAATAAATCTCGTTTAACTATTCGAATAAGTCAAACAATTACCATTGATAATAGTTACAACTTATTATTTGTCATCAATTAAATCATAAACTCTGACCAATATTAATCATATTATTTCTATCAATTTAATCATAGATGCTTTTTGAAATAATAACATCTGCTAGTTCATATTGGTTAATTCTTGTAATGTTTCCAACATATCAGGTACATGACTAAAAATTCAAATAATAAAATTTGATTTTTTATTTATTTTTTATATTCTTTTTCTTTTACCTAAGACAAATTTGTATAAGTTCAAATAATTCACTATGAAATATAATTCTTTTCGTATAAGGTAAAATACAACGTAGAAATTTGTCAAATATTGATGAACTACGTAGTCATTTTTGTATAGTTGAAATAAAATTAAAAAATTAAAAAAAAGTATTTTAGAATTTTCTTGTTCAAATAAAAAGTAATACCATTAATTAAAGATGTTTCTTTATTTTGTTTTATTGTTGTTCTTGTTTCAAGAATAGTTGTTTATCAAATGGTTAGAGATACTCATTGAAAGTTATTCGCCATTGTTGAATGCTTTTACTTTATTACTCTTATTGTTGACGATTTTAATGATGAAACTGAACATATATTATTAGGAAGATTCTTTGTATCAGTTGATGCTGCATTAATTGTTGTTGTTTATTTGGATGATATGGTCGATGAGTAATAGATTCTTGTTTACTTCAATTATAAATGATGATGATCATGTTGATGAATCTCAATCATTATTAATAGTTAAAAATGATGATCAAGTTGATATTGTTGTTATGGATGATGATGATACAGGATTATCTGTTATTAAACGTGATGTTGGATTAGTTACAATTGTATTTGCATTAGTTGTTGTATATTTTAAATTTTTTTTAAGTTTAGAATATGAACACTATTGAACTGCCGAATGATGATACTATACCAGATGTAGAATTTAAAGGTTCCTGAAATATAAAATAAATAAATAAAACAAAATTTTTAATAACTGTTTATAGTTGGTTATTGTGCAACATAAGTTAAAATCGTGATTAAATTTAGTAAAAATTTATCATATTTATTAAATAATTGTGCAACTTCAGCATACATTTCAGTTTCAAATACAATATCATAAACAAAAATTGTCATTTCAAATGTAAAACATAATAATAATTTTTTTTTCTATTTAGCACCATTCATCAACATAATAGTGTTCCAGAAATGCACAACTAACAAAGTTTGACCACAACCACCAGTAATACATAAACTAATCTTAATTGCATTTCCAAATAAACCATCAACTGCATATTTACTCATGATTGCTGCTGTTATCGTAATGATATTGGTCCATCAGCCTAGGTTTAGAAGAAATGGAAATGCTGTTGTTAAGAGACCGATTTGTGTACAGTGATTAAAAAATAAATCATTATATTTATTATGAACTTTCATGTGAACTAATTCTTTATTTATTAATGTTATTAACGTCCCATATTTATTTTTTAAATAATGATCAGTCGGACCCCAAAACAAATTTTTATTATGAAAAAATGCAGCACTAATATTACGTTGTAAAATTTCATTTAATAATATTTCCTTGTTCTTGAAATCAGCAATCGATTCGTCGACATTGATATATGATTTGTAGGTGAGCAAACCAAAATAAAAGAAAAAAAACTGACATAAAACACCCATGAGTAGCTTGTATGAAATTGCTTTTGTATATGACTGTAAATAATTAATACCAATCACAAATTTCAAATAACAAAAAAAAATGAACAAAAATAATTTGTCAAAATAAATAGCACTTTTTTGTTCAATTTTTCCAGATGACTCGATATGATTTTCAGACTCTCTAACATTAACTTGTTCATTGATAGTTTCATTACTATCTGCCATTACCAACTATCTTTGCAAAGCTCAACAAATGATAATTCTAATGTATAAAAACTAATTACTGACAGATAACAACAATATGCATATCTATTAGATCTTACTAATAAATTCTTAGGAAGATGCGACGATTGACTTTAATTCTGATAAAATAAAAGAAATAATGATTTAATAAATTAAAAATATAAATAGATGTGATCGTACTGATGAACTCACATGAAGATTTTGATCAAAGATTATTCTTTCAATCTGACAAATGAAGAATCTAAGATGGTAAAACACAATAGTTTAATGAATAAAACATATAGAGGATTGCCAAAAATATTTTGCTCCGGAGGTACAGCTGATCCAACGACAAATGATATCAACATTGAATTTTATACCATATGAAAGCTTGTCAAAAATGGAGCTTATCATCCATACAAATGAATAAGGATTATAAAGAATTTTCTTTATCAAACTTTGATAAGTCCTAAAAATGCATGAACTACAGTCGTAGCAAAACTTTCTTTTGTCATAGAAAACTCAAATTACTTCTGATATAAAAGTCTTGAATCTAGCAAAGTTACCTTTATTTTATATTATTCATTAAGCCACAAAAAAAGTAAGGATAATCTCTCTATGTTTAGTAATTTTATATCAGAGATAGTTTGCATTCTCTATGATAAAAGAAATTTTTGATATGACTGCGATTCATGCATTTTTAGAACTTATCAAAGTTCGATAGAGAAAATTCTTTATAGTCTTTATTCATTCGTATGAATAAACTCCATTTTTGACAAGCTATCATGTGATATAAGATTCAATGTTGATATCATTTGTCGTTGGAGCTGTACCCACTGGGCAAAATATTTTTGGCAACCCTGTACATTTGATTATACTGATGAACACACCTGAAGATTTTGATCAAAGATTTGTTCAATTTAACAAATGGAGAATCTAAGAAGGTAAAACATAAAATAGTTTAATAAATTAAATATATAAATAAAATGTGATCCTACTGATGAATGCACGTGAAGATTTTGATCAAAGATTTTTTCAATTTGACAAATGAAGAATCTACAAAAGTAAAGAAAACAATAATTTAATGAATAAAACATATACGTGTTTGATCATACTGATGAACGCATATGAAGGTTTTGATCAAAGATTTTTTCTCAATTTAACAAATAGAGAATCTAAGAAGGTAAAACATAAAATAGTTTAATAAATTAAATATACAAATATAATGTGATCCTACTGATGAATGCACGTGAAGATTTTGATGAAAGATTTTTTTCAATTTGACAAATGAAGAATCTACAAAAGTAAAGAAAACAATAGGTTAATGAATAAAACATATACGTGTTTGATAATACTGATGAGCACATATCCAGATTTCGATCAAAGATTTATTTTTTAATTTAACAAATAGAGAATCTAAAAAGATAAAACACACAATAGTTTAATAAATTAAACTTATAAAATACATATGATTCTACTATTGGATATTTGTGTTGATTTCGATCAGAGACCTTTTCGATTTGAGATATAATTATTCTAAGAAACTAAAAAGAAGAAGAAGATGAACGGTTTGAGAAATATATCCTATATATAGATGTGATCTTAGTGATAAATGCTTTTGTAAGTTTAAACAAAGACCTTTGCAAGACTTAGGAAATAATTATTTTGAAGAAGTAAAACAAATTAATGTCAGATGAACACAATGTGTATTTACATGATCCTAGTCGGAGAAAGCTAGGGAAATAAAGTGTTA